GTGCAAGGCCTAATAAGTTACTTTGTAACACGGGACATACTGTACAGATGGTTTATGTACAATATATGTACAAATACCTTTAATGCACCTTAAAAGTGAACACTTAGTAAACGCCACTGTTTTCAACTACAGTTTCTGAAAGCTGGACATATATACACCACTTTCCAGATTAGTGGGGATAAGCCTTGTATTTTATGGACTGTTTCACTGGAATTAATTAAATTTAAATATTAAAATACAGCTCAAGAAATGTAAAATATCAGTCCTACAGGGAAGGAATAAAACAATAGGAAAATCATGAAATTTATTAGCTTAAAAATATATTCCCAACTTTCCGGTGTGTTTGTGTGTGCTAATAGAAAGCGTTACACAGACAGAGTTGAAATATTTGGCCATGATTTCAGAGCATAACAGATCTTTGTTTGGATATTAAGAGCATCACATGGTGTATTCAGTGTTTTATTGCCCTCCTCCACTGCTACATAAGGTTACTGTAAAATAAATGTCATAGAAAATATTAGCAGCTATAAAAGTATTACTAAAACCCCAGAAAGATTAAATGCACACACTCACAGAGTGAATTTTATTTGACCAAGTCGTGACTCTCTAAGCTATAAATGTCATTTTTTCCTATTTATGAGACCTTTGGGGGTTCAAAGCAAAGAGACTCCTGAGAACACGTCTACCTCACCGACGCAGGTGTGCTGACAGGACGCTCCTGTTCACCACCACAGCTCTAATCAGGTCGAACCAGTCAGTGTGAATAAATGTCAGCCCAATCATATCTGCCTGGATCCTATGTTTAATTCACAAATCACAGACATGAAATATTCACACAATGATGAGGATGAAAGGAGACCAGTTCACAAGTTTGAGCAGATCAGCAGTGGGTGGACAAAGGCTCGTGAGTGGGCTTCTTAAACATTTTTTTATTAATTTAGAGAACGGATAAGAGGATGAGAGATAAGTCGAAGAACATACAGCAGCTCACCTTGAAAGACCTCACAGAGAGAGCTGGAGGTGAAGTGAGGAGTGGTCAGACAAATGATGAGGAAAGAGAAAAGCAGGACGGTGGCGGCGCCGATATCTGTGACTCAAGTCTGCAAGTTCACACAGAGCAGAGGTGTGTAGCT